ATGTTAGTTGCTTCAGACCGAGTCCGATGTTCGCTTGTAGTGACAAATAAAAAGGGCAAAGAAAGGCCATGAATTTTTAGAGACCATCCATTCTGATAATGCATGCACCAACCGACACGTAGAATTGGATGCGGTGTACAACAGCCGCTAGGAACAGTGGAAAAGGCATTGGCTAATCAGAACATTACGCCAGCAGGAGTGACAGGGCAAAGTCGATTTTTCAGGCATGTTTAAATGCTAACTGTTTTGCACACTTACTTCACATCTGAGGACGATTTGGGAAACCAACGTCGAAAATGTACAATAAAACTTGTTTATCTTTCCCAAAGAGCTTATTTCTTTCGAATTATGATTCTTGGGATGCCTGTTTTCAAATTCATATATATGCATATATGGTAGGGGGCGCTCACCGATCATTCTTACGGAACTCACTCGTTCCGTTGTGCCTTACACGCTCTCTCTCGAGCCCAACCAGCAGCCGCACAGCGGCGCATGATATAGGCAGTGTTTTATTACCGACAAAGACAAGGGAGACTGAAACTGGTTAGAGGCGTGGACCCCTAAGAAACGAGTCGCGAGTTTGAGCCTCGGGTGTTCCACACTTCGGGGTTGGGTATGACTGGCTGACAACGGCTAATAAGCCAGAAATGGCCATTCCAGTCTCCCTTGTCTTTATCGGTAATAACACATTGCCTACATGCATATATATATATATATATATATATATATATATATGTGAAATCTTGTCGGAAAAAATCGAGTTTTACTCGTGAATTTTCGAGTTGGTGACACAAACCCGTCGTCAGACGAAATAAACAGAGGAGAGAGTGAGATGGTCAGACTACATTGGTTGGCGTAACAGGCATGCAACTAATGTATGAGAGGGGGTGGGCACATAATTAGGCTAGGATCTGTGGCGGGAGAGGGAAGGGGGAACTGTTGCTGCTCTCTGTGTTGGAGGGTAGGGGGGATGACGACTCAACGGGACCGCGGACAGGAACTTAATGGTCGTCGATCCGGCATGCGAACAGAGGTCAGTTAGCCAACGCAGAGATGTTAGGGATTGAAGTTGCGGTTCGCTGTGTCTGGGGGAGGGGGTGGCGAAATAGGGCGATTCTACATGGCCCAGTATAGATTAACGCCTGTTGTTAGGTCGTGGGCGCAAGTCAGTGAGCCGGGCACGCAGACCTTCGTAATGAGCGTCCAGATCGACATGGCGATTGATGTCCGTCGTGTTAGAGTGCCAGGCTTCGAGGAATTCTCGATCCTGTTTGGTGTTTGCCATGGCAACGACTTCAGTTCCTTCTCAATTGAGGCGATGGTCGCACTCAAGGGCGTGCGCAAACATGAGTGACAAAGGATCACGTCGGCGGATGGCTAGTTTATGTTCGTTTATACGCGTCCCAAGCTTTCGGCCTGTATGACCAACATAGTCTCAAGAGCAGTCAGCGCACGGAATGCGGTAGATGACATTGGTTTGCCGCTCTTTGGGTATAGGGTCTTTTACTCGGGATAGTGTTCCGCGCAGGGAGGACGCCGGCTTGGGGGCAATGAAGACGCCAAACCGGTTAGACGGGTGATCGCTTCGGAAGTGCCCTGCATGTAGGGTAGAGAGTAGGATTTCCGTAGTTCGAGTCCCTCATTAGAACTAACGCCTTGTGGTCGTCTCTGATGTCTGAGACAATTCTTCACAAAGCTGACCGGGTATCCGTTGAGCCGGAATAACCGATACAACAAAGCGAGTTCTTTTTTAAGAAGATTATCGTTGCTACAGTAACGATACACAAACATGCACGCAGACGCACCTGGCGAGGCACTGATGAACCTCGGTTCGATGAAGTGTTTATGACCCATCTGGAAGACCCGTGTGGTAAACCAACTGCGCCAAGTGCGTCTGTGCGCATGTTTATGTTTCTGATCCCAGCTGCTGGCCAGGGTTATGATTGGCTGAACGAAGGCAAAACAAGCCTGAAACCGTACTGTATCAATCTACCCGCATTCTCTGTCATCCCTCCTCGCTGCTATTATGACTTGGCCGACTTCGGCCTGGTAATTGGTTGCCTGTTCGTGACCTTTGCCACCCATATGAAGCTTGTTTGCTTCGTGAAGCCAATAGATCGGTGTGCGCCCATTCAATAAATTCCGAAAAGCTGTGCTTATATTCAAGGTAATCGTGGTGTTATAAGTCATTCTGAACCAAAAGTTGTCTTGTAAAAAATCCACGGGTGTTTACCTGTGAAACATCAATCATCCAAGCTTTCCCATCCATGTAGAGCATATTGTACTCGCTCAGATCGGCGTGTACCAGACGACACTTCTGATAGAGGGTTCGCACATCGTTTAGAATCTGGCGATATAATTTAGGCCAGTCAGGCGGTGGACCGAAATCCTCCCACTCACCCGAGGCCACATCCTTCAGTTTCGGTGCTGGATAACCGTCTTTACCAATCATGGTCATTAGAAGAACCACACCCTTTAGTTTAATTGGCGCAGGCGCTGGAATGGACTGAGCAGTGTTGATTCTGATCAAGTTGCGGAACTCCTTTTCCGCCCATTTGGAAACAAGTTTCCAGGAACTGCAGGTGGAGTAGTTGTGACGCATGCGGAAATCACCCGCCACGTACTTATTTCGTGATTTGAAAGGAAGGATGGATGTCATGTAGAGTTTGATGGCCATGTCCCCCTGGGGACCGACAGCATGGTAAACGTTGGCTTCCTTACCTAGTTGGGAGGAAGGGCAGAGGCAAGAGTGAATAACGCCCGAATGGAACAGAATGCATTCATCTCGGTTTCCTAATAAGTGTATGTGGATAAATAAAGTTGAGGCAGACCGTATTGCCGGCAGGCCCTAGTTCGAGACTTTATTGGAGGATAAAGTCCGGCAACTGGTAGGCAGAGGCAGTAAAAAGGGTGTACATGGTCAATTTATGTCAAAACAAACTTTATCAACAGCAGCTATGGCGCAGATACCGTGACAAGTCCACAGACTTCTGTGGTTTATCGTTCTCTCAAAGGATACTCCAAACATGCGCCGTAAAGGGATCCCGATGGATAATTAAAAGCCGTGACGATACAGCTGTGAAGAGTACGTGCAATTCATCGTCATGAGAGCTCAAAGGCCTTCAAGTCACCGAGAATAATTAAAGCAACGTGACCTCGGCTTCTAAAAAACTAAAGAATTTCTGTTAAAATAATGGAATTACGGCAGTGTTACGGTAACTGCGACACGAGGTTTGAAATTGACGAGCCAACTAAGGCTTGTTGATTCCTCTCCGGTGTTTAATTCCGTCAAATGTGAGTAGCGCCTCAGACGCGTATAAGCATTCTGTCCCTGTGATATCTGAAACGCTAAGCACCGTGTGAGCACGGCTCTCAAACGTATGTGACGTGCGCGCATTCACCGCGGGGGACAGTCAACTACAGGTGTTAACAAACCCTGGAAGCATAGAAGACTCACCGAGCTGACATTAACTCTCAAATTGGACACGCTTAATGATTCGTGCCCACATAACCCTTGGGGAAGTTCGTGCGCAGGCCTTGAACTGGGCGCACGTCGAGGGCTCTGAAAGTTATCAAGCCATTGAGCAGAAAACATATTTGCCACTGGAGCCTTTTCCCTTGTCCATGAGGGAATTGAGCCCTAAACATAGTGGTGGTTGAGGTATGCCCACCATCCAAGCCGCTATACGCCAGTCAATGTTGTCCCAACACTGCATGAGGTTTGATGTCTAGCAACCTCCTCCAGACGTTTTTTGCCAGCTCGGGTATTAAATAAAGTGTTCTATCGCCCATCCTGTTTAATTACGCGATTAAGTGGGTTCCTGGAAAGGCTCTACGCAGTCTTAGCGTCGAATCTGCATCAGCATACTGATCGACTGTCCTCGAAAACGATGATGATATCTCCCACTCCATAATGTAGTTTTGTGTGAAAGAGGTTGGCAAATCCGTCAGTTTACCTATCAACGATGAAACGGACAGTTTTCCTGAGTAGCAGCTTTGGTCAGGTACTTCTTATGCTTTACAGGTCTGAACTTGAATAGGACGGTTTAAAATATCTTGTGCCAAGTTACTACCGAAAAGACAAGATAAAGATATGGTCGCTCGAGAAGAAACTGATCACAGTTTTTTAAGTTTTCCAAGGTGCCCAGAGACCTGCCAAAATATTTCAGTCGCCAACAAAATCCGCGTGTATCGGGCATCCGTGTTAGCTGTATTAGCTGAGCAAGCGTCCACTGGATTTGACGTTTCAGAATGTTGTGACCAAAAGGAGGAAAGTACTTTGTTAAGGAAAGTGTTCGTTGAACCCTGAAATTTGGGTCACAAATTAAGGTTAAGACAAAGAGCAATTTGCCATACTGGCTCCCCATCTAGTCCATTTGGACAGACAAGCGAAATAATGCCAACAGTTAAGAACAGGAAATCTAACAAGTCAATAGCAGTGAAAATGCGATTCCCAAGTGGCATATCAAAAGACGAAGATGGGCGGGATTTAGGTCACGGTGACATGCGGTTCGGATGCAGCCACACATGCGGCATTGGCGGGCCAGGCATCAAACAAAGTGCGCGATATAAGGAAAGCTGTGTGTATGACTTCTCGGTCTCTGAAGATGGGTAGAAGAAACAACTACTCGAGACGTCAGACCTTCAATACACCTCTCCCAGTAAGTCTAACAAGACTTGGAAGAAAAAGGGCAAACGTAGCCCAGACGGTCCGTCGCGCAAACAGCAATAAACACGAAAAAGGGGCATGCCCATGCTACTGGCGTAAATGCGCAGGATCCTTAACCCGCATTGTATGTTGTCTGTGAGGCACATTATTGCCGTGAGTACATAAGTCCAAATTAGTCATCTGGCATTATAAGTTTGACAGCACAGCGGTAGAACACGGTGTGTCCGGGTAGGGAGTAAACCTGGTAGGAATTAAGAATCACTCCACAGACCTCGATGCACGTGGTGATTACTCCGCTCAATCCTTTACTACCAGTCGTCGCTTACCTGTAGATGCAAGAAACTGCATTGGGAAGCAGTCACACTCCGGTCACCACATAAACCGACGACTAAACTAATGTGGATTGTTGGTTGGGGTTTCCCCACAGGATTAGGCCCTGTGTAGAGCTTGATTCATTTGGTACATAGCAATAAAACGTGGTGCGGCATGCGCAGGCGTAAGCCATGACTTCCCTTCCCAACTTCAACTCTAAAGATCCAGCGGAGAGAGCGATATGCTACCTCAAAACAGCTCAGATCAATCCGGGCAGTCCTTCAACCAATACAAAGTCTTGATCTATGCGGGAACCCGGAAGCCGTCTGTGACATCTAAGCAGTGAGGCACTCCTCACGTGGAAAAAAGTTGAATGAGCTATCCCAAACAAACGCTGGAAATCATTACGTTTGCAAAGTGTCAGCGGCTCGTGACCGCTAAACACACGGTCAAACCACTAAACTAAACAACAACCAACGTTCCGACGATCTAACGTCTATTTTTGAAATGACCTCACACACTAAAGTAGCCTGAAATGTCCATTTACTTTAAGATAACTGAGTGGCCAACCAATCAGAAGGGAGGAATGTCCCAATCGCCAGAAAATTAGTCTATCACAACGCACCCGCCAAGGCATGAGGGTCGGAACAAAAATAGCAGAAAAACGCGGGTGCACGTTGATTGTGTTGATTAAGGGGCCGTAATACAAAGAAGGGGCAATATTTGAGTCACCTCTGGGAGGCCGCCTCCCGAACGGAAGGCAGGACCGGTACTCGGAGCTCCGGGCAACAAACCCTACGCAGGTCTTCCCTGACCACAATGTAAAAAGCACCGGAGACCAGATGAGTCAATTCAACCATGTTTACATTCGATAACGATCAGTACTGTCATTCAACATTCAAGCTCACCGTCCTACACACTAAGCCACAAGACAGGGACAGGCATCTCCGGCCATATGCGAATACACTAGGGTCAGCCATCGATCACACACCAAACAACGATGATATTTGTCAATGTCGTAATAACGAGAGCCAGCACCTGTCTTTGCATGTGCATGTGGCACATGGCAGATGGAGACCTTCGTGCCAGGTCAGTCGCCACGCTAAAACTCAGCATCAGTCAGCCCACAAACGTTGACGGACCAGTAGCACATGGGAGAGGCAAGGGAGAATGCGGCCGATCCAGCTCAGATCCGACGCCTAGGCTCCCTACTATAGACAACCAAACGCGCCTTCCAACCAAGCCAACACGCTAACATTCGGGGCTTGGGAGGTTTCCAAGGGACGCGATAACTCGGTCTAACTCTGGATTGGGGGTCAGGCTCACAGCTCCATTCTAGCGCAACCTGCATGGAAACTTCACCGCCCAACGAAACCTAGTACGTTTTCAGTTGTGTTACACTCACAGTCAGCAATTGTGCTCACGCTCATCTCCGATCGCCCCCAATTTGTAGGTGTCGGAGGAGAGAGTGGGGTGGTTGCACAGCAAATCTTTTTTTACTATAAATTAGTGTGCGGATCACGACCGCACGTGATTCGCAATTGGCGACAGTTAAAAGATCTACAGCGAACCTCTTAATGCGAATGAGAGAGGAGGTGGAGTTAAGCCGATAAGTAAATTTATACAGTGGAAGAAAACTAAGCCGAGCCATACGTGCGTAGTGCAATTGGGGGTTCACAGGGAGCAAGCTCGAGAAAATGGAAAACCTACCCGTGCTAATACAGCCGTTGATTTCGAAAAAAGTGCCCTGACTCATCATTTTGTAGAGAATGGAGCAGGAGCGTCTGTCTAATGCGTGATTTGTGGTAGCTCTGTCACTCTTGTCCCGAGTTCGTTCAGATGACTTAAGATTAAAGTCGATTTTATTCTGAAACTTGTGAAACATGGCCTTCGTGTTGTCCGAACTTTCAAAGTTTTTCATTTCGATATCATCGTACTCCTCAAGTGCGTAGTCCATCGCGCGAGGAGAGGCAGACTTTTAAAAATGCGTCGACAAAATAGAGCATTCAAAGTGGTATACGCAAGTGGTCAGCTACGTTTTAGTATTTATTTATTTGCTTAACTATTCCGAAATCAGTTCTATAACAATTCTGGCAAGGATCGAAGCTCAGGCCGGGCGGCAGACATTTTTACGGTATGTGGTGTTCTGCTTGTATGGAGCCCTTACAATCTCGCTGAAACTTGGGAGGATGCTCAGGAAAAAGCAAACATAAAGCAATACGCACAGGTGCACAAATGCGCCACCACTGCAAGCCTAAAATAAAAGTTCTGAAATAAAGGAAAAAGTATATATGTCATGTATGAGACCTGAAAGTGAATGATAACACATCAGAACTGAACACGAGTAACAGAAATTGGAGGGAACTGAATGCAGAATGCCGTTCACAATCGAGTTTATCTCATTCTCCTGCTTTATACTCCATTGTTTAAGAAAGACGAAAACCGTCGTTTTGAAGGTGCTTGAGTCACGGTTTCCCGATCCTCAATCAATCAACAAGTGCGACGACCCCCCTCTCCATATTCGGCGTTGGGACTTTGCCTAGGTAAAGTAATTAGCCACAGGGACATCGTGTGGATGACCACCGTTCCTGGTATCAATTGTGGCTAGGCAGATTGCCCAAGAGTACAATCGGATGACAGTATCCGACAGTCAGAAACTCGACCGTGTGTGACGAGTGTGGGAGCAGATAATCTTGACCGACACACACGTGCGTTGTAGCTGTATGACAACTGTATATTTCAGCACCTTGCCAGTCGAGCCAGGATGCACTCCGGAGCTGCCAACTATGATAGGCATGTAGCGGCCGAGCAACTGCATCCTATAGATACTGCAACACCTGGGCAATTTAATACCCTTAACAGACCATGTTCCTGATGATGGACTCGAGTGAGAATCCGAAGCGTCAGATTAATAAGGCCCTTGTTCTAGCTATCATGTCTCCTTATTCGCGACTACTTCCAGGAACTCGCCTCTTCTCTTTTATTAGCATACCCGTCATTGCCACTGTGCACTGTTCAGTCGTCTAGATACTGCCTGACCAGAACTCAGCATAAATTCGAGATCGCCGAACACGAGAGTTACCCCTATGCATTTTACCTACTTCATACACACTAGTCGGCATTCGCTGATTTTAGTTCTCAACGTGAGTGAGTTTCCTAGGCCTCCCGGAACTTCACCTTTGACGGGGTATCTATCTACTAGACGTCCCCAGGCCCGTGGATCTACACCAGGACTTTCGTGGGAAAACCAATCTTCTTCCGGTCTTTCCTTTGTCAACAGCTATCAGATCAATGTCCGTCAAACGGGTAAAAAGTTCAATGACTCTGATGGACGTCACATACGACGAAAAAACCTGCAGAACATGTTTCAGACTCGTTCTGAATTGTTTGAAGTTGGGGAGAGTTAAAAGACCTAAAAAATTGAGGAGAAGGAGGAATCCTAAGGGAATTGAATGCACAAACTCTACTCGGTTTAAGTGACCATAGTGCTTTTACCCGTGTGTGCCCTCTCCTATCGAACCCAAAACCGCAAATTTAGAGGCGCGAAAATATTTGGAAGGGTGACTTTAACGCAAGGAGGCGTGCTGTCTCGTAGTAACCTAACCAGTTAACATGAAAGATTCAGACGACTTCTGGCAGCTGGCATAGCTTCTTAACTTTATTTGATTTGTTAATGAGAACAGGGTGGCTGCCCTCGTAGTAAGGGACAGCCAACCACGTTCGCTTGCATAAGAAATGTAGCAAGATGGCAGCAAGGAGCTTCAGTCCCATTAGTTTGACTTGCCTCTCGCGCAAGACGGTGGACGTTCTGGTAAGGAGTTCTGTAGAGCAATTTTATGAAGAAAACAACATCTCACAGAATTATCAGTACGGCTTCCAGAGAGGGCGTTCCTGTCTATCAAATCTGCAAACTGGTCTGGAGGTCTGGACCAGGTCATTAGAAGAGGATTTCAAGGTCGATGTCCTGTACATGAATTTCCGCAAGATATTTGACATTGTCCCTCACCAGCCCCTTCTTCATATACTGAGCGTCATCAGCATCCGGCGAAATCTTCTGTGCTGTATAAGGACGTTTCTGGTTGATTAAAAACAGCGCGTCTGCATCGGAGAGGATATCCGACTGGGTGAATGTGATTAGTGATACGTCTCAAGGCCCATATCTTGGACGCTTAATCTTCATACTTTATGTTAATACCAGCATAAGGAACCCGACTGCTGCAAAACAATGTTTGCCGACGATGTTAAGCTCTGGAAAGCCATAAAGGGCCCAAATGAACAGAAAGCACGTCAAAATAATCTGCATTGACCTCAAACGTGGTCCGAGAAATGTCTCCTGGATTTCAGTGTGTAGAAGTGTGCCGTCCTTCATCTGCGTCCGATCAACTGCCATTCAAATGACATCATGAGGACATATCACCTGAAAGGTAGTGCTCTTCCAGCAGAATCTTCGTAGAAGAATCTGTGTTCCGATGCAGGGCGACACGAAACCAGCAGTGCAGTGTAACAAGGTTGCAAAAAACGTCATAGGAGAAATACATGTAATCTAACTGACCTTTGTAACTTTTAACAAGGACATTTTTGGGAGAGTTTACGACACCTTTGTTCGGCCTCATCTAGTATGTGACGTACAAACGTGGCAGCCATGGCTAGAAAAAGGCGCTGGAGAGTTAAGACGTTAAACACAATTGGTAGAGGCTGAGAAACGTCGTCCAAGCCACTGCCATTGAAGTCATCGGACTTACAAATGTTAAAATGTTTAAGCGTATTATAGAAATGTAGAAACTTGGACGTGATAAAACATTTCAGTACGTTAGCAGCAAATGGTGAACTGATAAATAGGAGATCGTCTTTTTTACCGACGAAAGTATCACACATTGCATGGTTCAGCATGTAAGATTTCAAAATCGAAATATTCACTCATTGAAGGCTCCGATCTGTGCCAATTAGAAGCTATAGGCAATGAATATACGATGATAATGTCCATTGATGACGGTGGTAGCTGGCGGTCGTTGCGATGCAAATGACGACCATTATGCAAAGAATTCACTATTCTAGCCGTAGACAAGTGGCCTTTTGAGTGACCGTCGTTTCTACTCTGCCTTCCGTTGAAGAATTCAACTGCATTGTAAAGAACGTCTTTAGACAAAAACTTGTGAACTTTTCCTTAATTTCGAGTGGTCTCTTATAAGCAAATCTTTACGTACACAACCTACCATCAAAAAGAAGTTACATCGGACTACGTACACAAGACATCTTCTCGAGGGATCCCACCCACGTAATCAGATCACTATGAGGTGGATTGGACAATGCACATAGCTGTCGTTTATTTTTTCTGTTTATTTAGCAAGGAGTATAGGCACAGCCTTTAAAAACCCCACTGGTAACAAGCCGTTTCTTTAGGTACAGCCATAGGCGCATAATGAAAATTGCCGCTATTTATATACTACGCGTGTGAGTTAAGTAGTACTGTTTTAGAAATGGAAATGATCTGGGGCTCGCGGGATATTTAGTTCAGGTTCAGATTGTCAAGGCAAAACAGGGGACACAAAACTTCATTCATGCGTTTCTTAAAGAGCTGTAGGGACGCCGCTTCCAGGACTAATTGAGGAAGACCATTCAATTTCTCTACCAACCTTTGTGGGAAAAATCCAAAAAGAAGGCTCAGTCTGGACATTTTCGTGCGCGTCTTCATCGAGTGCCCACGAAGATTGGACGAAAGGTGCCACCGAAGCATGTCTTCAAAGCTCAGGCCAGTTTCAGTTTATTTGGTAAGGATGGTAGGCAAGGCCTGTGAAAACCCTTTTGATTACATGCAGCACGTTATGTACAG